CCTTGGTGGCCATTAACTCAATAAATGATATGGGATGCCATACAAGAAACTAATAATTAATAATACACGACTTGGTGGCCATTAACTCAATAAATGATATGGGATGCCATACAAGAAACTAATAGTTAATAATACACGACTTGGTGGCCATTAACTCAATAAATGATATGGGATGCCATACAAGAAACTAATAGTTAATAATACACGACTTGGTGGCCATTAACTCAATAAATGATATGGCATAAATAAAACGAGACGTCATATACGAAAAAATAAAAATCTGAAATTAAGATTTGTTTTATTAAATTGGTTATTGCTAAGCACAAATCTTCACAAAGGGCACCACATCTATCGAAACTCGGATTTGACGTCCTAAGACGTACTGCTGAGCCAATCGTGCTTTGTTGACTTCTTTGTGTATTTGTAATTTCGCGAACAACTACACGAGGCTATCTGCGCTAGCCACCTCTACTATTGAAGTGATAAACTAGAGGAAAGGCAGCTAGCCAACACCACCCCACCAATGAATAGTGGGAGTGACCGTCACATTATAACGCTCCCACGGCTGAAAGAGCGAGCATTTTCGAGTAAGGGATTCGAACTCGAAACCCTCAGAGTGCGAGTCGAGTGCACTAACCATCAGACAGCTCTACCCCGCTCCATTATAAGTACGAAGCAGTTTGCGTGTACATGAATATATATATACGATTAAACGGTCCCCCTGTCGCTAGGTGTTGAGTCTTTGGATTTCCATCGCTAAAATCCGAGATTTGATTTCCCGCAGTGGACAGAGCGGTGATAATCCGTTGTATAGTTTTGCACTAAAAACACCATGTTTTCATCATGGGCGCCTGTAGGAAGGGGCAAGAGGGGCATTTGACCCCTCCTGGATTTTCAAAAAGAAAAAAATTACTAGATATGTAAAATTCTTCTTCTATGTTATTAAAATATCATAAGGTATTTGTAATTACAAGGGTATTAACAATAGTATGATTAGTTTCTAAGTTGATACAGCAATTTATAGGATACTTTAATGGAATCATAGTTTTATATTTATCCAGCCCGTACCAGAAAAATGGCGACTTCCAGTCTTCCATAGAAGAAAACTATTTCGATTTCATCATTTTTTCAAACTTGAATTACTTGACTCCCCCCCCCCCACCATTTTTTGTTATATGCATGGTAAGTGTATTTAGAACTGAAGAGTGCGTCTCTCTGCTTGCATCGCTTCAAGGCTTCCACAGGATGACAAATATCACAGTGCAAATACTCACAGATCTTAACCAATGAAACCAGTTCATTCGATCGTTGATGTTGCCGGGAATAAAGATAACCGAAAATAATAATACCATACGAAAGTTCACAAGTGTAGTGTAATAATTTGATACTTCAAGTGTACAGTTCAACACTGAGAAGAAAGATAACGTTTATTTTCTGTCTTTTTTTACCGCTAGTCCTGTAGATAAGATAAAGATGACAGTTGAGTCTGTAAGTTCTTCTCTTTTCAAGAACGAACTCGAAGATCTTTTACTAAGTCGTATTATAAAGACTAGGCTTAGTCGTTAGGCTTAGTCGTTATCATGCGATGTTCATACTGGAGATTTATTTTAAAAGCCTATTCAGTGGGATTAGTTTATCCCAAAGTAGCATCACTTAAAACTGGATCCGGTAACTTGAAATCTTTAACTCTGAGACTGCGATAAAATTCTTTGAACCATTAACGGTACCTTTTCACCACAACACTATTTTTTTTTTAAAGCTAGGTACAACTTTGAAAATGACGCACGTGGTTCGTCGAAACTAGTCGTGTAATTAACTTCATAATTTCGCGAATTTGTGTTTGTTTTTCCTGACTTAGTTTGTGCTTATAAAGGTGTTAATATTTGTAATATTAGGTAAGATTGTTTATTGATATATTTCGGGGCTGAGCGCGACCCCTTGGCTAACGTGCCCTACTCTGGACATGCCCTATTCTGGATTTGAGGTTTGTGGTTTGCACTCTGGACTTTAAGGCCAATGGTATGTTATAAGAGTGAGTGTCAAATTTTACTATTCCACCTGACAGAAGTAACCCAAGAGTTGATGGCGGGTGGTGTTGACTAGCTGCCTTCCCTCTAGTCTATTATTAGTTAGTTAGGCCGCATTTTTGATTAAACTTGGGGCATGATGATGGGTAAAACAAAACACGCAGCCTGGCTAACTAATGAATGAATATTTGCTGTAAAATTCTTAACAATGCTATAAGGCCCCCAGTGGCACAGCGGT